TACTTATAATATGTACAGTAAGATATCAAAAGTCATCGAGCATAAAAATTAAAAAATTAATAAAAGTAGCTATTTTAAATTAAATTTAATTAAATCACTTTTGATACAATAAGTTAAGTTATATATCTTAATAAAATACATAAATATTAAAATTTTATAAATATCCAATCAGTAATAAATTTTATATTTAATATTTTATGTAATATTTTCATATATTATAATATTAATTTAACAAATCATTATTGAAAATAACTTGTTAAAATATAATTAAAGTATATAAAATTTTACAAGAATTGAACAAAGAAATAATCTCTTTAAATATTAATAATGCTATTAATTTCATAAAATGCTTAAGATTCAGTAAGTTAATAAATAATTATTAATTATTAAAAATAGATAGAAATTCTTTCACAAAATAAAATGAATAAAATTGATAAAGAAAATTAAATCTAAGATAAAGTAGAATTATATAATTTAATTAATATCTTACCTTTTAATGATTTTATGAATTTTGATATATTTTTTCATATTAATAACTATTTAAAAATAATAAAAGGTTAATTAATAATGAAATTATAACTATAGTAAAACTAAATAATAACAAACTTAAAGTAAATACAAATTATAAACCTTTGGTGATAATTCAATAATAAAAACTTTAAATCATTTAAATAGTTTTATTGTATTATTTAAAAATTCATTAGAGATTTTATTAATTTAAATAAATTAAATATATTACAAAAATTAAGGCATTAAGTATTGAAGTTATATATTGATAACTTAAAACAAATTATGTTAGATAATTAGTTTCAAATTTTATAAATATATTATTATATACTATATTATGTCAAATATAATAATAAAATACTAATAAATATAATTTAGATTAGTAATAAACCAGATAGTTCTATTTAAGATTCTGTTCAGTTTCTAGCTTAAGTAAAGAGAGAAACTGATTAAATCTAAAAAAAAATAGAATAGTTAATTAAATAAAAAAAATAAATATATAAAAATAAATATAAACTAAAAAAAAATAAAATAAATAGCTTACCTTCGTTGCAATAATGAATTGAACAGTTTTGTTTGAAGGTTCTATCTAGTTCTTAACCTAAATAGAAAGAGAAGCTGATCGAACCTAAAAAAATAAAATTAATTATTAAATATTAAAAAAAATATATATATATAAATTAAACTAAAAAAAAAAATAGAATAGCATCGATTGCCTTCATTTGAAAGTTCTTAGCCTAAGTGGAGAACTGATCTAACCTAAAAAAAATAAAAGAATAAATTAAATATTAAAAAAAATAAAAAAAATAAGAATTTTAGTCAACCAGACTGTTCTGTTCGAAAACAATGTCAAAATTGGAAATAAATAATCTTTATTGATATTTATAAAATTAAATAAAATACATTTGTTACTTTCAAATATTAAGGCTGGCCATGATCATGAATCTAGTTTTAAAACTTATAATTTATTTATTAAAGATATAATTTTATATTTATTATAATATTAATTTATATAGAGATTTTATTATTAAATGATTAATATAATTTTATTTTAAATATTATAATTAAATGTTTTAAATTAAATTAACTATAATATTAAACTAAAATATATTAAATCACCTAATAAATAATTAAAATTAATATAAAAAATTAATTATCAACTTTATGTAATTTTAATTTAAATGAACTTTTAATTTAATTTATAAAAATTATTATCTTTTCGATATCTAATAGATAAATTTAACTGTCAATTTAAAAGTATTAATTTCTTAAAAAATTTAATTTAATAATATAATTATTATATTTATAAATATGTTATTAATTTTAATAAAAAGTATTTAATTTTTAAGTTTTAAATCAAGTTTTAAAAAAAATATTATAAAATTTCTTTAAAATTCATATGATATTAATGTACTAATAAAATAAAAAATTTATAATAATAAAAAGTTTTTTAGATATTATATTATAATTAATAAAACTAAAAGAAAATTTAAGATCGTTAGAAAAAAATTTATAATTATCTATAACCCACTTTACTACAATCTAAGAAATATAATATACAAAATTCTACTTACTTTATTTACAGTTTATTATGAAATCAGATCCAAAGAGGATACTTTTGAACATTTCAACACTGATTTTTTTTTTTTTACTTTACGAATCTTTGAGAATAAAATTTGATGTCATAGATCAACACATTTTACATTAGATACAAAATTAGTTATCGTGATGGTATGGATCTTTGTAATTTCTAATTTTTTATTTTTTTGTTAAATATTATAAAAAGACTGAAAGATTCTTTATAGTTTGAAACCTTTATGCATGACATGTTAGATTTACACGTTTCTGTAACACCGTGTCAAACTGAACCATTTAATTAAATTGTTACACACGGGAAAGTATTTAACATTGTTTGAAATTCCACACCAAAATTTCTTTATAAATTTCCCTCTCCCATCCACATCACTCACACATGTTATATAATAAAAATTAATAAAGTAAAATGGCTTACAAACTTCCTGCCGATTGTTTAAATGAAATTTTGAATATTTGGCGGATGATAAAATTTCCTTACACTCATGTTTGTTAGTCAATCGTCTTTGGAGTGAAGTCACAGTTAGAATTTTATGGAGAGATATTTGGAGATTTTTAATTTTTAATGAACATCATGCTAAATCAAAATCATCATTACACATTTTTCGTACCCTGACCGCTTATCTTCCAAGTGAATCAATAGACCTTTTACTAATGAATGGTATTGATATCCCAACACCTATCTCGAGAACTCCATATTTTAATTACGTCTCGTTTATGAAGGTCCTTTCGTTTCCTGATATTGGTCATATGATTGAAAGTTTAATGGATCAATTTAATACTATTTCACAAAGCTTAGATTATAATGAACACCTGGTATCTCAGGAACTGTTAAAAGCCTTGATGAAACATTTCTCATCTTTAAAAACTTTGGATTTTTGTACTGAATCTTCAAGGATCACTCAAAATATACCTTTCATACATTTTCCCGGAGCGACCGAATGTTTAGCGGATGTGACAACTTTGAGTTGTGATTCAGATGTAATGTTATGTCCTCAATTGTTTCGGAAGATACAATCACTATCCATAACATTTGATGATATGATCTCAGATGAGTTGGTTCAATTAATTCATTCTCAGCAAACTTTAAAAGATTTAGAAATAATTGCCCAATTCGATATGGATTGGTCAATCATTTTACCCACTTTCGAACCTGCTTTAAGAAAACATTATCATACAATAACAAAAACAAAATTATTAATTAATGGTTTTGATATGCCATTCTCATTGATCTCTTCATGCTTTAATTTACAAGAATTGGTAATTTCAATTTATCCAATATTTTCTATGGGATTACAACCTCATTCTGATAATTTCGATGAATTGCAGTTTGCTACTTTTCCAAACTTGAGAATCTTCAAAATTCCTTATGATATTCCAAAAATTGAAATTTTAATAAAATTCTTGGAAAAGAACGGAAAGAACCTTAATGAATTAAGGACAAGTATAGATTATGCTTATGTTGACAATTCATTGAATAGGTCCATAGCTCAATTCTGTCCGAATCTTAAAAAACTTACCATAAATTTTGAAAATGATGGATTAGTCACATTGAAGTCCATTTTTGATAATTGTGTAGGTTTAGAGAGCATTATAATTTGGTGTAAAGATAATCGGTTAGATGGTGTAGAATTGTTTGAACTTGTTGCAAAACATTCACCAAAGAATTTTTGCCAATTAAAGATAGATCTGGATTTTTTATTCCTTCCAAATGATTTGGAATCATTCTTTACAAGTTGGTGGGATCGAAGACCACGAAAATCATTAACTTTGATTTTTTTTAAAGATAAATTTGAAGGGTATGAAGTAAGTGAAGAGAATATTAAAATAATTGAAAGATTTATAAAGTTGGGCACTATTAAGAGATTTGAAATGACCGATGGATTTTTCTATCATGATCATTAACCCGTTACTTTGTTTTAAATCTTTATTTCTTTAATCATTATTTTTAACCCCTTTTTTGTCAACTATTAATAAATTTTACATTATTCCGTTATATTTTTCCAGGTGAAAAGTACTTGATCAATCATTCTTGTCTCTAATCTCTTGAAAATATTTGTGTATTAAGAATTAGCAAAGGGAAATAATTTTTTTTTTTTAAAAAAAAAATAAAATTTAACACTAACACTATTCTATTTTTGCATTAAACCACAACCCAATATTGTGTAAAAGTTATTAAATGGAAGGAAGTATAAACCTGTGAATTCTTTAAAGTCAACTGATTTTTTATTGTCTTGGTAACTTTTATTGCTCTGTTGAGGTGCGGATTTATCAATGGTGGAGTTGAACAACTTTTCGATTGACATCAACAAAAGTTGTCAAATAAATTTCTATATTTTGAAATACGTTCAACTAATTTCCCTCATCAGACTCGCTTTGACCGTTGAGAATTTTCAATTTCGTTTCTTCATTATTCAACTACCGTATAATAATATTTACAATTTAAGTCATACGAAATTGATGCAACGTAGGAATGAGTGCATGGTTTAGCTGCCGTGAGCGCATCCTATAACTCTCGATAAGGCAATGAAAATACCCTATACCAACTGAGAAGACATCACCTGCCTTCGTTTTGATAATATTTTTTTTAGGTCCCTCCACGGCCTGTGGCGATGCCGGTGCAAGGGAAAGGAAAGGAATAAGATTATTTTGACATTTTTATTTTTTTTTCTGCTTTTATTCCTGCTTATTCAATTACGTAAAGTGAAATTTACAATATATATTTAACAATACCAAAGTGAAGGAGTAAGTTTGCAGAATTCCTACTCATTTGGCAAAAAAAAATAATAATAATATATAGTAAAAGTCTTATAAAAGACAAAGAAGCTGAAGAAATCAATCAAAAAGTTAAACGAGCCGATGTTATCGATTTTTTTTATTTGCAAAAGAAGATTGACCTGTTACTACAACGCAAAAAAAAAAAATGTTTCACAACAAAAAATAAAATTAAAATCAAATCTGTTTTTCCGTTTTTTGAATTTATGATTTCACGCCTCCCCTATGATAAATCACAAGATTGTTCTTCGATCCAATGCCGAAGGTATCCTTGTGGATTGCATGACCTTTACATGCTTTCCATATCTGTGAATATTAAAAATCATTATTGTATTTTCTGTTCTTATGAGGACAAGCCTCTCTCGGTTATAGAAATGACAAAATATATATTCAGCTTTACTGACCAAATTTTTTTAGTGAACAAGCTCCTCACTTGCACGAGGAACAAAACCCGGTTGCAAGCAATTGTTGCGAAATAATTAATCTTCAATTACGACGAGGTTCGACAGTAATTTCTTCAATCATGCGAGGAACAAAAAATGGTCGTAACATCCTCTGTCGTACAAATATTAAAACTTCCTTTTTAAAATTTTTGATAGCTGACTCAACAAGTTTCAAGTCGCGGGTCATTTTTTTTCTTTTATAATTATGCATAAACATGGATTAGAATACTCAATAGATTTAAACTCTATTTATTACAACTATAAGGCTTTCGAATCATAAGATTAATTAATGCACGCTGACTTTTGACAAAATCGATATCTACAGCGACCTCTCCTGGTTACGCAAAACCTTATTTACGCTCATAAAACAAAAGTTAAATTATTTACTTTATCTAGAAATTAATCAATATCTCTATAAAAGTCTGAAATGTCTAATAATTCCAAAATGTCCGTAAAATATATCAGAAAAGTGAAATTTCTAAGAGATTTCGATCATTTTAAAAGCAATTGATCATAATTAAAAATGCTAGTAAAAAGTTCGTTTATATACCGTAAATACGGTTTTATTAATTTATCTTAAATATTACAATAAAAATTATTAACATAAATTATTACTACGATATAAAAGTATAGATTACAATATTGGCCAGACTCGTCCATCCAGTTAAAAAAACTGAATTAATCATTAAATTGAAATGGATGAATAGAAATGAAAATGAAAGAAAGGAAAGGTAAAAAAAAAATAATGCTTACCTTCCCGTAAGTATGAAGACCTAAAAAAAGGAATGTTTAATAAATTAAATGTATGAATGGGAACGAAAAAATATAAACTCCTCCCAGCCGAAAAAACCAAAAAAAAAAAGTGTTAAAAAAAGTAAGATGGAAATGAAACCAAATGGAAACAAAAAGAAGCGAAATAAGATCACCTAAATGAAGGTTCCCATTAAAGTTTACACAAAATAAACCATTCAAGTCCGGAGCTCAAAATTTGAATTTTGCGAATTCTCTAAAAGACAACCGGAAAACTCACGTGACGATCAGACATAAGTACGAAAATTCATTATTTTAATAAAACATAACTTGGTGTAAAAAAAATTTTTAATTTATCATCCTTTTGTATTTATTTTATTAATAAAGATCATCGTTATCATCATGAAAATAAAAAAGAATATTTTTATTTCATACCGGATACCAGTATCTCCCCCTAATAATATGCTAACACCTTACCCTAACTAACCCTAACAAACCCTATATACCCCTAAACAAACCCTAACTAACTCTAACCGTGACAAATAGATATATGTGTCAAATAAGGTTTCACACTCAAAAAAAACTCAGTCCCCTGAGTAAATAGTAAAAACAGAAACTTGAGGGGTATGATACGATGTGATACAAAAGGGAGGATATATATACATGATATAGTTATAATATACTGAATAAAAAAAAATACATATTTTAACATGTTATTCATAGTTTCACACGATAGAAATAATTTAGATATATGTAATATATATAACAGAATAAAAAGATAAAATGAATAAAATATAAATATTATCATCTAGTTTAAGTAAATATTAATTAAAGTTCACAATATCCATCACTGGTGCATCTTTCTCCGTTACGACAGCAAGTACCATCACCGCAACTTACAGGATTATAACCACAATTATTGTCGCATACGTATTTAACTCCAGGAACGTTAGAAGGATAGCAAACCGAAGTACCGTAACAACAACCCCCGTATTTACACAGAGAATAACCGGCTGGACACTGGTCCTGTCTTTTGGTCAAAGATGTTCCTTCTTTAAATTCTCTTGAGTAATCATCTCTTTTCAAATTAGGCAAAGAAGAAGCGAAAGTGATAAATACCACAACCGCAATAACTAGAGCCAAGTTAAGTTTCTTAATGATTTTCATGATTTTGGGAATAGTTATATTATTTAATGTGGTAGGGAGCTCAATTAAAAACGTTTTATTATTTGAATGTGGGTGGTAAAGAGCTCAATTCGAATTGATATTTATATTTAAAATGTATCATCAGTACAGTTAGTCACGATAAAATCTTCTACTTATTTATAAGGAAAGTCATTTTATAATACAATCATGAGAACTTTTACTCTTTATTTTATTTCTTTTGGTTTCAGGTGTGGGAAATTATTTTAGTGAAAATTAATCAAGTGGTTTTTGTAGCATTCAAATTTGCCAATCAGAATTCCAATTTTCATTTTTGTTGGGGTCATTTGATTCAAATAAACCGGAATTTAAATCAAAGAACTTTTTCGGCAATCTCATTTTGACTTTGTTATATTCCCATTTTTAATCGATAAGATAACTTTATTTCGTTAAATTAAGCCTTTTTTGCAATCGGAAAATCGTATTGCAATTACAATATAATAATATCCGTGAAAGTAATTTTGCAACAGTAAAAGTTTAATTATCTGAACCCGTGAACTAAAATAATTATTTACCGCTCAATCGCCGACATTATCAAGGTCACGGCTGCGCCGTGACGCCTGATGATATATACAGTAACTAGGAAATTACAATGATTAGTTTATTCTTGTAAAAATCAATTATGGTACAGATTTTCTAGAATTTAATGTCTAGGTTCTTCAATTCCAAACATTGATTCTTTAAAAATACAATTTCGCTTTCAAATAATAACGATGAAATCAGTAATATTTTTATTTTACGTTGTTAGAATCACGTAACCATTTAAAAAAAATATATAATAAAAATAATTATGATACTTTTTTTTTAAAAAAAAAATAACATTAAACTTTGGCGTTATCGAAAGAAAGTCTTTTTAAGTCATAATAATATTTTTCAAAATGAGAAACTTAAAAACAGAGAGTTAAATTTGTGATACAGCAAATCCGACACATTTTGTATGACGTGAAGTTCCTTCTATGATATCGACACTCATACCGTATCATCAAAATATATCAGGCCTAGAATCATGAAAAAAAAAAATTCAATTTGAGTAATAATGGTAAAGTATGTTTAATAGTTAAATATTAAACTTGAATAAAATACCTACCATTTTTAGATTTCTATATAGCTAGGTTTGTGACCAAATAATTTTCTGAACTTTGGTCCTAAAAGCAACTTTAGTTTAGTGTTATAATATAACAAGATTTTTCAATACAACCGCTTCAAACGTTAAAAAGTCATTATAAAATCCCAATATTCCCAAGGCTATTTCAATTATTTCAAAACATAATGTAATTTTCTTTTGGATATTTAAACAAAAAAATGTTTCTCGAGTTAATTTTTTTTTTTTTTTTTAAAAAATGTTTAATCCTTTGATCACTAATAAATAATTGTATGATTTTATCGCCTTTAAAGAAGGTAGAATCATCTAGCCGATTTTTTCATTTTTACCAAGTATTCTGGGAATTTATTTTTATTTTTCACGCGCCTTAAATGTCACCTCGCAAGTGAAGTTAAAATTTAAAATTTTACTTGAATCAAATTGAGTTTGCAAGTGCACGATGGTTTCATATTTTCTTTCTCCTTTTTTTTTTTTTTTTTTTTTTATTATTAAAATATTTTAAACAAATTAAAAAAAGATCTTCGTTCTAAATTTCTAAATTTTAAAATGATTAAAAATGGTTCGCGTAAACTTTATAGAATGGCCACGTGCCTTGGATCATAGTGACCGTTATTAAAGGGCCACAAGGAAGGTACTGGAGTAACGACTTGTATTAATTACAATTTTTTGTACCTATTCATTCTCATTTGGTAACTTTCCCAAGTTTATGATAGATATAATAGTTCATATTCATCTTCTGATCGACATTAATATTTGTGGTAATCAAATCTCGTAAAAGGTATAGTATGATTTAAGAACAAAGAGTGGATTCCTACATTGTTTGGTAAACAACCTCTGTTCATCTCATCTTTTTTTTTAAAAAAAAAAAATCTATTATTTTCTGAAGTTATGAAATAATGTCACGTATAATTTTGAAACAACATTATTTCTATGATTGGGAAATGGGAATGGGATTCGTAATTTGAATGGACGTTGGGACTCTTTTATAAACAATGGGTATGGCGTATAAATGTGATAATACATTCAGAATCATATAACAATTTATTTTAAAGCTTCTTCCAAAATAATTTTTTTGACGATCAAAAATTTTTTATAAAAAAAGGACAAAAAAAAAAAATTTTTCTTTGGTAAAAGACGAAACTTTTCGAAGATAATTTTGAAAATTTCGACGGATTCAAGTTAACAAAATTTGCAAAATTTGACGGTTTAACTTATTGATATCAGCATGACAATCTCCTATTTGAGTAAGAGTTATTTAATTTTGAAAACCATGTAAACTTAGTAATGTTTTTTAATTGTTGAATTAACCAGTGATCAACTTTATTGTCAACTTTCTAACTCGACTAGAAAAGTATAATGAGAAAAACACGTCATATTTTTAAGAAGTTGAAGAAATTTTGTAAAGTCTTTGAAAAATATGTAATGTAACCATTGATAAATCAAAAGATTTATATTGAATTCTAAATACACGTCACTAATATCGTAATTTGTTTACTTGAACTGTAATACATCAGTAAGTATGCTAAAACAAGATTAATTCTTTGACTCTTAAGAACTTACCTTAGCTACTCATTTAATAATTCTTTGACTTTAGAATCTTTAAAGTTTATTTATCACTTTATAGATATTTTCGCTTATTTCGTTGCTGAATTTTCTGAACAAGCTTTCCAAAGTCGTGCTTATGAGGATGAATTACACATTTTGGTCTCCCATTTGCAAACATGTCAAATGCTCCATGAGGCTACGTTCGTTTCTACATTTTTGAAACAAGCGCTTATAAGTCTCCTTATTGAATTTGAATTTAAGAAGTTTTCAAGAAATAATCTGAGTTGAGGTGGGCTACTTATCAAGGGAAGAATTAGCAACACGATCGTGATTGATTTTATAATTAGAAAGATATGAAAGATTGAAACTACGGACTTATGGCTTTTGGATTCATTAGATCGATAGACAGGATTGTTGTTTTATAACTTTAGTTGGATATGACTGAATAGATTTTTCAATTTTGTAGAACTCTAGCCAGATTACGTGCAACAAAATGAGAATATTTATGGGCTGTACATTCACAAAATGCGCATTGTCAATGTCCAGATCATTGATTTTGAATTTATATTAAAACTCTTGAAACACTCTGACAGCTTTAAGAGATGTTACGATGAGGTTTGTTTTCTGATTCCGATGAATTCATAATGTATTCTAGGTCAACATGCTTTGCTGATTCGCCCGCTCTTTTTAAATGTACGATATTATTCCTTATAGTGCTACTCTTATTAACAACATATTTGGTAATTCTCCCGATTTGGATAACTATTTTATAGGATTCGAAAATTTTTTACTAGAAGTATATCTCCTTTCCTCGGAACTTAATTATCGCAGAGAACGTCTCTGGATTTTGCTGAAAATGCTAAGTTGACCGAGCTAATCCGGACATATTGGGGATGCTAAAAGCTAGCATAGTATAAAGAATTCCTTGCTTACAAACATAACTTATGCGCTATCAATAACTGTGGTCCACATAAAAAGGTCAATTGTATTGCATTGAGAAGCTTTCGCTCTTACCGGTATATCATTTTTATACACTTACGACCAAATGTCATTGTTTTATTAACATGCAATTTATTAATGTTAATTTTCCTTTTCACGTAAAAATTTCACATTTTTTGCGTCGGCTTACTATTTAGACATTCTATAGATTGTAATTATTTCTTGATTTATAGATAATTTAAAAATTGAGCACAGAATTGAATCTTTTAAACATGTTTATTAAGGAATCGAAGAGAATAAGAAAATTTTAAAGCGGATATTCTGTAGTAATAATGAGATGGTGTCGTTCAATTTGTAGTTTTGAAACACTTTTTTTTTTACGCGAATGAAAAGACTTAAAATTGTACATTAAAAATTTATCGGAATAAGTTAATTTTTCCACCAACGAAAAAAATTTAATTTTCAAAATTATTTTATTTCAAATGAAATGTTAAATGTTAAATAAAATCACTTGATTCTTTTATTAAAAGTTTTTTGGTACAGACCATACAAAAATAAAAAGAAAGAAATATATACCTAGCCCCCAAACAAATATATACACACGCAAAACTTCTAAAAATAAGAAGAAAATTTCTTACCTAAGATAGATCCAAATCAACTGACTAAATAAATAAATAAATTTCTTTTCCAGTGCCTTTCTCCTATTTAATTTCTGTAGCAAACATTAATTTTTTTTAAATCTATTGTTCCTATTTATTACATTTTGCTAAATTAATTTCGTCTGTTTCATATAATTATATCCTGTGTTACTTTACTACTATTATATAATCATTAGCATCCTATATTATTGTATTGATAAAAAAAATATATATATATATTATATAACTAATTAGATTTCTATTCAACGTTCTATTTAGCGTTCTATCTTTATCTGGTTTTTTTTGTCTCCTATGTAGCTAAAGATCCTATCTAATAATATATATAAATATATATATTTCTATCGTTTCTTCTATCTAGTGTTTCTCTACTCCCATATAATACCAGTTTCTATCTTTAGTGTTTGTATTAACTATAATAACTATCTATACCTATCTACGTTTAACGCACCAAATAATTATTATTTTCATTCTAGTATTAAAAAAAAAAAAATCGTATAACTAATTAAATTTCTATTAAACGTTCTATTTAGCGTTCTATCTTTATCCGGTATTTTTTTTGTCTCCTAATCTATCTAATAATATATATCTAGATTCTGTCTAATTTCTTCTTCTATTTAGTGTCATATCATATCAGTTTCTATCTTTAGTGTTTTTTAAATATGTATCAACTATATAATAACTATCTATACTTATCTTTCTAGTATTAAAAAAAAAAGATCGTATAACTAATATAATTTCTATTTCTATTTAGCATTCCATCTTTATCTGGTTTTTTATCTCCTAATAGCTAAATATAATCTATCTAATAAAATAATTCTAGCTTCTGTCTAATTTCTTTCTGGCGTTACTTCTATCTAGTGTTTCTCTACTGCTATATTAAACCAGTTTTATAAATATGTATTAACTATCTAAACTTTAAAATATATACCTATCTACGTTTACGCGCCAAATAGTTATTATTTTTATCTCGTAATAAAAACTTTGGTTAGGAAATATTTAATATATATTTAAAACAGAAATAATTTTGGGTGTGTATATATCGTCTAGTTGAAAGTTGGAAGAGTTGAAAAAAACAGAGGTGTGACATGGCGTGACAAATATTTTTGCGAGTCACATAATCGAACCACCCCCCTATTAATGGCAAATCCTCTTATCGAACCGGTTATTACTTATTTAAAAATTTTTAAATTTTTTTATTCATTAAATTATCATTTTTTTTTTAAAAAATATGATCCGCTATATATTTATTAAGATTTATAGTTTAAAGAATACAATTAAAGAAATAACATAAATCTGCCTCCTGTAGCTCGATTTCAAACTTGTTTGAGCACTTTAAAAACCACCAAGTTTCCGGATCAAGATATACAAATAGAAATGTTAATATTCCATCATCTTCCTCCTAAATAATTTATTATCCCTTTTAACCAATTGCTATAATTTATTTTAGTTTTATTTACATTCTCTAAAAAGATTTAAATGAAAAATCTTTTAAATGATAATAATTAAATAAAATAAAAATGATAAATGATTCTATATAAATGTCTAATTAAGATTCTCAATTTCAAATTTTTAGCCACACCCTAAATAGATAAACCCAATTACTAAATTCTAATAGAAGTTCTTCAAACTATAATATTTATGCTAAGATGTTAATCAATTAAGATTAAATAAACAGTTATCAAGTTTGAAAAAATACTACATAGGATTCTGCAGTCTTCAATATCAGAGATCACAAATACAAAAAAAAAGTTACCATTTAGAAAATAAAGGGAATAATCATTATATAAATCTTGTTTATTCAAAATAAATATTTTTTATACTTACTTTATAAGTTAAAAATAAAACTAAAAAATACAAAAAAATATTTGAAAATAATAAAAAAAAAAAATATTTTAATAAAATAACATTATATAGATTAATTATAAAACATTTTACAGATAAGAAAATTAGAAAAATAAAAAAAAAAAGTTTAAATAGTAAGTTTTTTTTTATTCATAGGTTAAATTATTACTAATATTAAATAGATAAGATTTTATTTAAAAATTCTTAAATAAAATTTAATAAATAAGAATTTATATATTTTTTTATTAAATTATTTATAATCAAATTTATTTAAATTTATTTTTTCTTATTATTTATAATAATACTTTATAAATAAATTATTATTAATAATAATTTAATATAATATATTATATAAATTACTAATTTTTTACAAATTAAACAATATTTTTAATAGTAAAATTATTAATATATTATATTAATAATTTATTAAATAAATACTAATTATTATATATATAAATATTTATTAATACAGTATATATATAATTTAAAAATTTGAAAAATAAAGTTAGAAATAAAAAATAATTTAAAATAAATAAAATAGCTCTAATATAAATTAGTTAAAGTAATATAACTATAAAAAAACAAAGATAAAATATATAAAAATTTATATAATATAAATAAGAAATAAATATTCCTTAAACTATAAAATGGGCAAATTTATCTGTAAAACTTTATAATTTAAAGAATAATAAAAAAGAATTTATAAAATTACTTATAAAATAAATAAAAAAAAGTATTATAATAATAATATGAAAAAAATAAAGTAAATTTTAAGAAAGAAATATAAATTATTTACTATTAAAATTTAATATAATAAAATATATATTATATAATTAATAAAAAATTAAATTATTATATAAAAATAAGAATTTATAAATTTATATTTAATAGTTTAAAAATAATTCATTCATATAGTAAGTTTAATTATACATTAAAGTTTATTTATAAAATTAATAAATCTAGTTTGGTTTAATTTATTTTAAAAAGACCAGTTGTTTATCTTTTTTAAACTAGATTAATTTATATCATTTAATTTTACCAGTCTAATATATTTTAAAATTTATTTTCTTTTAGTTTAAACTTATTTATAAAATTAGTTTAAGAATTAGTCTATAATATATTTAAAAAATAATATTTATTATATTTTACTTAATATATTAGATATACAGTCAACTCTCTATAAATGCATCCTATATAAATGCACGCCCTTTTTAAATGCACTACTTAGCTCAGTTTCGAGTCAAAGAATTAGTGTTAAATGCACCTTCTTCTCTATACACTATGCAATAATTTTTCAATTTCGTATATATAAAATTTTTTATATAAATACAATCACGTGACTATGTGATTATAATCTCGATCAGAATTATAAATTACCTAATAAAATAAAGTATAGATTAATCATAATGTAACTATAAATAATATAATATATCACGTTGTGTATCACACTGCTATATATTATTATATAACGCGTTGCAGCTGCGGTAATGCTGTAATGTTGCAGTTTACACTTACATTCTAAGAAAGTTCAGAAGTCCAAGAGTCTAAGAATGCCATTCCTAAAAAAGGAAAAGGAAAAGGAAAGAGGGAAAGAAGAAAAGAAGTAAAGAGGAAATACAAAAAACTAAACTATATTAGCTTGGCATAGTTGATCATTTTAATTTTCGCATATATAATTAAAAGATAATAGGCGCAGTATTTCATAATGCGTATATATTCTCAGCCGATTATTCTATATTTTTCTATGAATATACTTCCTATATAAATGCACACTTTTGTTTAGTCCCAAGGGGGGTGTATTTATAGAGAGTTAACTGTATACACTATCTAGACAAAAGTAGCAGACCT